TCTCCAGCTTGGAATGGTGTTTTGGGTTGATTCATGAGGATTTGAAACCTTCTCGATGTTCTATTCAATTTTTGTGTTTGTACCAAAAGCTAATTCTCAAAGGAAAGTCTCCGGATACGCGGTTCTTTTGGAAGTTATATGATGAAAAATACAAAGAAAAAGGTGCTGAAAGTGCAGTTTTCGCATACTAAAAAATTCATAACTCGAAGACCGTTTATCGTTTTGAACCCGTTCCGGTGGCTAAAATTCCGTCTTGATGTCATCTACATTTCTTATCTCACGGCCGGAAGCCAGTTCTACCCAGAGAGTCTTCGAATATATGAATTTATCAAATATATTCGCACGAGAAAATAGTGACAAATATTCACCGGCTTCATCTTTAGAAAATCATAACTTGGTCGATTCTTATCGTATCGAGCCGGTTCGAGTGGCATTGGTTCACAAATTGAGTTGGTTAAATATTTCTTTCAGTTTTCCAATTCGAGCGGTATCCCGAAGGCCTTCGTTTTTGGTCTGAAGCGCGCGCAACGTGGTTGAAAATCCTGAACCGAGAAATATTTTCATCTGAGACGAAACTTCAAAAAATAATAACTAAATCACCGTTTATCCGATCGAGCTCATCTTTGGACACGGTGTTGTTCTCGACGTTGGATACATTTTAGTTTCACATTTCAACTTCTAAAGTCGCATCGAGATTCCTACAAATTTGCCTGGAACGTATCGCACTCAAGTGAATTAAAATTCTGCATTTATATTTATGAATATTTGAGACCCATTAACCAAATTCACTCACATAAGCCCATACTATATATTCTTTTTACTATAATTTCTCTCATAATTAGAAAAAATCTCCACAAACAATCAAAACTTTTCTCTCAATTCTCTCAAAAATCAAATCAAGGTTCTACACTTTTTTCATCAAGAACACAACAACAACTTCATCAAGATCCAAAAGTCAAGATCAAGAGCAATTATCCTCCGATTGTCGATCCGTTCGTTGCGATCTCTATACCTAAGCCTCCTCTTCACTTCTATCGGTGAGTTTTCTTGAATTAAGCGCATTTTGAAATAAGTGATTTTTTGGAATAAGTGCTTTTTCTTGATTTTGTGTTGATTGATGTTTTAATTGTGTAATTGAGGCTTAATTGTTGAGAATTGATTTGAATTGAGAATTTAATACCATTTTATTAAATTGCTTATTGAAATAAGTGATTAATTAAACTTGATAAATTGATTTTGGTTGTAACTTGAAGTTGACATAGTGTTGTTGTGTTGATTTTTAGTCCTAGGTATTGTTACACTAGTGTTTAAGTTGAACTAGCTATAGAAAACTAGTTAGTACTAACATTAGTTTGAGATTTTGAACTTTTGATTAGATTAACATTAGTTTCTAATTCTTGATGTAGAATTTGTTAATAGTTTAGGTTATGTAGATTCTAACACTAACTTTGATTTAGGTGTTGTAACATAAACTAACAATTAGTTTAGTTTAGGCCTAATCTTTGATTTTCAATATTCACTACATGTTTCCAATTATTTTTGGTTGATGATCATTGATATTTTTTTGCATTTGAAATGCATTTTTTGCATATGATCTCAAGTTACTAATTTTTGACATAATCTAATCTTTTACAAATTTTTGGTTGATTACTTGTTGCTTTCCATTTCAATAAATTGAGATGATTTCTAATAGACTCAAATGTCATTGCTAAACATTTTTGAAGTAAGTTTGATTGAGTTTGATAGAAAATATCTCAATACTTGGTAAATGGCAAAGTTTGACATAATTGGTGTTTTTGCTCTAACTTTTGATTCGTATTGAGTTTTTCCGACTTTCTTTAATGAAAACCGATTTTCTTGAACCATCCAGAATCTCTCACGCGAGTATTTTTTTTATTCGGACAAATTTCGTTCTGTTTTTCTGCTACTGTAGCAGTTTCGAAAATCATATTTCGGAACGGAATTTGGCTGAACCGAGTTAATTTTTGGAACCGTTGGCATGTTTTTATGTCGCCTTAATTTTTGCGGTTGATTTCGGATGCTTTTCGATTAATTTTCTAACTTTTCGATTCAAGTTTTTTGCACATTATCTTGTATTTCATTGTTGAATTGTGATACTTTTTGTGTGTTAACTCTTACTTTGATGTCAAGTAATATCATTTGGTTTTAACTAATTGTTTGAGAACTTTGTAAATTTAGCGTATCGGAATACATTTTGATTCACAACTTTTGTGTTTGGCAAATTGTGAGTTGATTCCTATTCATCACACTTTTGGCATAAATACATAAACTCATGAATTGGAGTTAATTTGCAATTTGTTGATTAAATTCCGATACATTAAATTCATGTGGTTTTAAGACTTTAATTCTTGATTTTTAGATCAATCTTGAGGTTACATGTTCATGTGCAAATTCCGGATAACCCTTTCATGCTAATATTCAAGATTAATGTACTAAAACTTTTATTTTCAAATCGATTCATGATGAATTTCAAAAAATGTATAATGCTGTCTGGAACTTGTATTTCGCATGTGCATTGAGTTTTAATTTGTGAATATGCATTGTTATACTTATTTGAGCATTTCTTCGATATCGATAGCAAGTTTGGATGTTTCTAAACCGGTTTTTGCACCTATTTTCATGAGTACGAGGTTGCTGTCCGGAATGCTATTTTATGCTCCCTTTGACTTGTTTACTTTGTGTTGTACATATTCATACTTCATTTTTGTGCATATTGTTAATTACCATTATCACATTTGATTTTGTGGTTATCTACTAACAAATTCTGTGAGATGTGCATACTTTGAGAAGCAACTGGGATACCATTCTCTTTGGTGACGGATACGCTTTGCTTGCATATGTTGTTCACGCTTCTGACGCTATTTGTTGTTGATGCTAGTTTGTGGCGCCCTCCGAGCTTTCGCCATGCTTTGACTTGGTTTTTGCGGATTTTTATTATCCATTTAGTATGGTTTCAGGCCATTTGTTGTAATATTACATTTACCGCTTTCTAGATATCATGAGAAGTAGGAAATAAAGAGCGTGCGCTCGAAGTCGCTGTTTAAAGACCTGTAGCAGGCATTCCGCACTTCATTTGCTATATGTGTTGTGCTTGTGTTTGTTTACTTTCTTGTTGATCGATGAGTCACTCAATTTAGCAATTGAGATCACGACTTCGCTCTCAGTGCATGCTCCCTATAGGACTTTATCGCTTTCCATTCTTTCTTGTTGATCGATGAGTCACTCAATTTAGCAATTGAGATCACGACTTCGCTCTCAGTGCATGCTCCCTATAGGACTTTATCGCTTTCCATTCTTTCTTGTTGATCGATGAGTCACTCAGTTTAGCAATTGAGATCACGACTTCACTCTCATTGCATGCTCCCATTAGAATATTTTTTAGACTTTTCTTCGACATGCTAACTGTAGCGGTGAAAATCGAAGATCAAGCTATTAATTAACTTGACTCACAAAAAGCAAGAGTCGCCACCGCGCTTTATTATTTCCAAGAGAAAAGAGAAAAGAGCGAAATAAAACCCTAAAGTATGCAATGTAAAATAATACTTAAAAGTAATAAAAATACAATGCGTTTTTGAAAGAGATCGAGAGTTCGGGGGTTGGTTATACAATGGGAAGGTATTAGCACCCAATGCATCTGTGGTACTCCGCAGGAACCTTTTGAAATATCTGTTTTTGGTTAAAATTGTTTGTTTGATTAAAATGGTTTGTTTGGCTAAAAAATGGGTATGGACGAGATTTTGAAGATGCGACGACCTAGTGTCGAAGTTTTGACTTAAAAGGTGTGAGTTTAAAAATTGAATCTTTTGGGAAAATTATCTTAGGTTTAACAAAATAGTAAACAAACAAAAGATGAATGAGGGTATTCGCACGATTGGATGAGATGTGTTTGGTAACATGAAGTCAACAGAGTTAAAACATTTCCCTTGGATTAAATCGAGCGAGCAAAATAAAATAGACATCAAAATATAAGCAATCAAAATTCACAAGAAAATAAATATAATGAAACAGATTAATGACCAAGAGGCATCGAGAAATTAAAATGACAAAGATATTTAAAAACAAATAAAAGAGAATGTAACAAATTATCTAAAGAACTTATCTGAACTAAATTAAAAATTTAAGAACACTTGCTAAAATAATTCTAAACTAAATTACAAGTTCTAAGGTTATAAAAATAGTTCTGAGATTATTAAATTAAATCTAAACCAAATTAAAATGTAAATTAAGTTAAAATTATAAAATTACTAAGTTAAATCTAAACTAAATAAAAATTCTAAAATTTACTTAACTAAATTAAAATTAAAATTACTACAATAATTCTAACTTTAAACTAATTAGTTCTAATTAAAAAGGAATTTTTTGTAATTTTATATGATTAAACTAATAAACCTAATATTAAATCTAATCAACTATATATTTTTAAATCTCCTAGATTAAATCTAAAACAAAACTTTAAAGTAAGTAGATTAAAACTAAATCAAATAAAAGAATAAAAGATAATGTTAAAACATAAAATATGGGGTATGCTGATAGTATTGGAGGGTATATTGGTTAGTAAACAAGGGCTCAAAGATTGAAAAGCCCAAACTTTTATAACAATAACCTAACCTAAAAAATATAGTAATAACATATTAAAAAATAATAATCATTAAAAAAGGTGAAGAAGAAGTTACAGCAAGGGGATGAGCGCTAGCAGGGGAGGATGATGTTCTCGGTGACTGGGAGTATGCGAGGTTAGTGGTGGCCGAAGGGAGCTACAGAGGGGTCTCAGTGGTGATGGTATGGGTTATGGAAGCGGAGGATGTTGTTGCCGGAAGAAACAGAGGCGGAGGTACGCGTGCGAGGTTTTCCAACAACAGGTAGTGGTTGATAACATTGATGATGATGGCGTGATAGCAGGTTGCGGAGAGAGTATGCGGTAGCCGGGAAACGGTACAGAGGTTGGGTTACAGTGAGATGATGGAATGGGTTGTTGTTGTTCATGGCGGCGTGGATCTGCAGAAGAGGTCTGGTGGTCTAAGGTGGCAGTTGTATGAGGTATGGCAGTCAAGAACAGGGGCATAGCCATTTCCAATCTGACCAGGGTGATTCATGATGATCACTTGAGAGGTAAAGTTAGCAGCCTCCTTGGCTGGGTCATCCTTGGAGTTAGAGGCAACAAAACCACGCTTGAGATCCTTAACAGCAACATTCTTAACATTAAACCCAACATTGTCACCGGGAAGGGCCTCCGTGAGAGCTTCATGGTGCATCTCAACAGACTTGACTTCAGTTGATAGTCCAGATGGAGCAAAAGTGACCACCATTCCAGGTGTGATGACACCAGTCTCAACACGTCCCATAGGCACAGTTCCAATTCCTCCAATCTTGTAGACATCCTGAAGGGGCAATCGGAGGGGCTTGTCTGATGATGAGGGTGATGGACAGTGGCGAGAGGAGGAAGGTGGGGGTTTGAACAGATTAGGTTCGTGTATTGAAGGTGTGTTGTTAATTGTGTGGAAATTGTTTGTGTGTTTAGATTGAAGAGAGGAGGGACGGTAGCAAGTGTGGAGAGAGGGAGTATTACTGGGTGAGTTGTTTTTGTTGTGTATAGAAGAAGAGATTGGATAGAGGAAATAGATAGTAATTGTTTTTTTTTTTTTAGAAGAGGATGGATGATTGAAGAGATAAAAAGAGGGTGGCTTACTGTAAGTAGAAAAATAGGAATAGATAGTTGGAGAGAGATAAGGGTAAAAAGTGATTAATATTGTTTTGGCAATTTTGTATCGATTCTCAATTTCATCCAACAACCAATAGGAATAGAGTATAGTGTAAATAATATATTTTGTGATCAAATAGTCCTTAAATGATAAAAATAACCTAAAAAACTAAATGTATTAAAATTAACTCAATTAAAAATGATTTTTTTTGAATATTTTATGAATAAAAAATAAAGACCCAAAATGACCGAAAAGGATAAAAAACGGACGAAAATTTATCCGAAAAAATAAAATGAACACATTAAAATAATCTGCATGTCACAAAGATTAAAGAAAAAATATTCAAGAAGTCAAAATCAAAAATAAAATAATAATAAAAATATCAGACTAAACAGACGTTTAAGGTTAAAAATGAGACTTCGAACTGTACCGAAAAAATAAAGCGAGCATACCGTCATAATCTACGCGAAGCGCAGATTCATAAAATGATCGGTAAAAGGTGAAAACTTGAAATATTTTCTCGCTACTTTCCCGCATAGTGTCGAATCGCTTTTAACAGTCTGTTTATAAAACCGAAATATTTTATTATCGACATATAAACAACTTGGAGCAATGCAAGAAAATAGTAAACAGGTAAAAATGAATGATGTGAAACGTCGGGTATTTTACAACTGAAAGACGATGCAAACTTTGATTTAAACTGACTTTTTCTGATCAACTTAAATACGACTAATGATGCAAAATGTGATGAATGAAGATATTTACTAATGATCGTGACCAAATAACAAAATATGATATGAAAGTGCGATTAAAACATATTAGGGCGAAATTTAGGATGCAACAGTTGTGCCTTGATGAATCAGTCTTCGAGAATCCACAATCAACCGTACTTCGGGCTTGGGAGACTCAAAACCTTAATTGAGGCGCGACACCTGATGCTCTTGATTCAGACCTGTCTCTGCACATGAAGCAAAAGAAAACATGAACATACACCTTTGTATAGATTAGAAATTAGTGATACATAGGCTAAAAATGTTCAAAACACTTCACAATCTTCGCATAGTCAATGCTTGAAGGTGAGAGGTTAAAACCGACCGTATTTAGTGACCTTGACTTTTGTATAAAATGCAAAAATGCAAGTGGGATCTTAGGTCAAAAATTGGGGTATGACACTAACCTAGGCAGGATCCCTTTAGGTGTGCTTCCTTTTTGCTGGCTTGTTTGCTTTATCCTTGTACATACCATGTTCCCTTAGGATGCGCTTGCTCCGTTCGGACGCAAGTTAGACCTTAGGTTGTAAACCATGCATGCTGACATTAGGTAGAAACTTCCCCTTTCATCCTTGACGTAGGACTACTATTGCATGATAACATTAGGTTTAGAAATAGGCTAGTCCCCCTTAGACTCTTTTCTTTCCCTTTTTGCATCCTTGCATTCAAAACAAAAACTTATCTTCTCAACAAATCAAAAACATGCTAATCATACCTAAACCCTTTTTCAAGGTAACAAAAATACAAAACAAATTCAAACCATTTTTGTGCGCTCGAGCACCTTCTCTCTAAAACCCTTTTCAGGTAAGGACATGATTAGTTTACTTTTGTGCCAACGCATAAGTCTCCAAAGGTCGAGCTGCGGCAGAAGGCGGAATTAACTTCATCCATAAAAACAACACAAACAAACAGAAACATGTGAGCCGAACTACGGTAGCTCTGATTCCTCAAAAAGGATACGTAGGTATCGGGGTAGGGCCCAGGCGAGCACAATTTTATTTTCCCTACATTCTTTTCTCTTTTCTTTTGCATGCATTCCCTTCAATAGTATAGTAGACAGTAAGCATAGATTAAACACACCCATAAGATAGATAACAAGAGTGGATACCGTAGAGTACTACGGGCGTGTGGGGTGCTAATACCTTCCCCTTGCGTAATAGACTCCCTTACCCAATCTCTCGGTCGCAAGACCGTGACTTCTCCTTTCTCAGGTTTTCTCGATGTTTACCTTTCCCTACATGTGGGATAAAAGACGTTCGATGGCGACTTCATTGTTTGATGATTTTCAGCCGGTTGTTTCAGCTGGAGACTTCACTGGGGATAGGTCGACCAAATGCTGGTCCATCCCGGAGTCGCTCCTAGCTCTTGCTTTCTTTCATTTGGGTGTTTATCTTTACGCTTTCAGTTTATTCATTCATTTTGTATATACTTGAGCATACGTATGCATTGCATTTTACTGTCTTCTATATACTACTGTTGTACTGGATCTGCTTCTTGTTGGGTGGGTGTTACTATGAGGTAAAAGGCCCAATACCCAGGCCAGAGTTGTATACCATAGGAACCCTAGGAATAGAGTGGAACATGAACGGCTAGTTGACTTAGGTTTCACTATCGCCACCATGCCGTCCATGCTCAGATGAGGTACAAATGAGGGGCTATCATTTTCACTTATGTGATACGGCGATAGTTTTTCAGGAGTACCCTCGATTCTGAGTTACCATTGCCTTACCCTGACCTAGTTTTCACTCGTGAGCAGGGAGGGAATTCTTATTACAGGTACAGATGGTGACTATGTTCAGATGGTTACTCATGCTTGGATGGGGACTATGCTCAGACAGTGGCTATTGGTTCTAATGGCTATGTTCTAGATTTCTGTTATGACTTTATACAGATGCCATATCTTGTTGGTGACCGTATGGTTCTCAGATTTATTTTCTGATTTTCTGACTTGTTTACCTGGAGGTTCATTCAAGCCTTCAATCTTGGTATTCCCAGCATGTTCAGAAAGGCTCAACAGTATCCGATATTCCAGAAGCCTCGATCCCTTACAATGGGAGGTCCACATGGTACTCGGTTCTTATATGTAGAAGTTATGTCAGACCTTTGATCTGATGATACTCACATGGTTCAGAACAGTGCAACAATCATATCCAGAAATGTTGGAATCTTGATCCTCTTTGATCTCATGCCTTTGCATACATAACATGGCTAACCACATGCTTAGCATACATGTTCTATTATTTCCAAGAAATCATATTTGCAAGTCTTGTGCTAAAACTCTTCCATCCCTTACTTGCGTAAAATCAAAATCAAAGCACGCAAATTCCTTAGAAATGACGGAACATGACATGGCATTCATTCATGCACCCCATGCATATTCATGCATTCATAGCAGGTACTCGAAGATTGGGGATTCTTATTCAGACCTGGGGTTCTCTTCAAAGGTTCAACCTGATTTCTCACCGCACATGTTCAGGAATCAGATGCAGAATAACTCCGAGTGGTACACGCAAGCTTTGGCCCATGGTCAAATTTTTCTTCAAGCAGGAAGATAATGGATTAAATACTCAGATAAGCCAGGTCATGGAAACTCTGATGATGATGTCAATTATTTCTTTAAGACATAATATGCTTGGTGATGCATATTATACTGGGGCACTTGGCCAATCGATTTAAGATGGTATGTCATCCAGAGGCCAAGTCCAAGACTGGATTAATTCAGAGACTATTGTGTTCACATCATATCTGAAGGGGAATTCTCTCGCACACTCAAGCATCAAGACTACAGAAAGTCGTCAGAATCAAGAAGTCCATACGGAGTCAAGTCTCCTCAACAATGGAAATCATTGGTTTCTTTACTGCATTTTCATTTGCATTCTTGCTTGTTTGTTTAAACATCGCTTGTATATAGAAACTTGTCTATTTTTGAACGAAAATCTTAATGCAATAAGTATGCTTGTCTTGAAGTGTTCCTTTCATTTTTACTCATCCATTCGTTATCACTCTTTAAATGTTTTGCTTGGATATTGATGCCAGATTTCCTAGTCTTATGCTTAGGTAAAGATTCAAAGGAGGGTGATGACAATCTGAAAATGCAAAAATCTCTTGTTGGTACGCTTTTGAGTAAGACCATGCTGATGATGTACAGGCCTTGCTTCAATCCCTAAACACTGGAGATATAAGGGAGATAGACCCTCGTCAACCCCTCTGAGCATTCGAAGTAGGAGTTTTCTTTCTATTCAGAAAAAACCCTCATTTCAACCCTGGGACGGGTAGTGTTCAGCTAATCTGATCAAGCATTCAGAACTCATCAAGAGTGTGCATCCAAGGATACAACAATGGTTATCCATCAAAAGGTTGAGAAAAGTCAAAACCACAATGGTTAACCCTCATCTAACAACATGCGTCTATTGACTATATCCCAATGGGTATCTCTCGCACGTCAAAAGGTCAACAAATGACGATACAATAATGGCTATCCATCATCTACTGAGGACTCAGGCAGTCACGATCACTTTCGACAAATCAAAACAACGCAAAGATCAACGACTTGTTCAAAATGAAAAAATACGAATAAGAAAGAAACAAAAATCCCCGCTAAGTCGAAACTTGAAAACAAGTCACTTAGGCAAAAATTGGGGCATCCCGCTGGACTTCCAAATCGAAATTCAAAAGAATTTGTCCAGGCAAAAATTAGGGAAAACAAGAAGGAAATTGAATAAAGCCTAAAAGGCGAGAAAAGGATTACCAATGAAAATCCTCATCAAAGAACAAAGTCGTGTGATCAGACACCAAAAGGAAAAGGTAAAGTGACTGTCGTGTCCAAGAAACCACTGTGGTTCCTCAATCATCGCAAACTCTTCTCGAGAGATGAATGCTTGTACCAGGTCAACTGAATGTAGGAATGAAGAACATCACGGAGAATGGGTGGGCACCAAATAATTTTGAGCCTTAAATCCTTTTTTCTAAAACCGTGAACCAGGCCACGTTACAACCCATAAAAGTCCTAACTGAAGCATGGGTCAATTCAAAAGCGTGCTACAACGAGATAGCGTTTAACTGACTCCTGAGAGGTACGTTTGAATACCTGTTGTTGGCATCATATGCTTGCATTATCTTTCATAAAAAAGGAATTTGCAAATGTTGCTCTCTAGCTAGTGACTCGTTCACAACAGATTTGTGACATCATTTCATTCAAAAAAAAATTCAAACTTCAAGACTTACATATGTGTTGCATTAGAATTGTCATTCTCATAATAAACATTCTTCTGCATACAAAACAACTGATCGACATCAAGTAAGTTTACACAATGAACGACTGGTAAAGAGCTCAATCTTGTCAGAGAAGAGAGGCTTGAATACTATGTTGAAGCAAGAGTCAGCTGCCATAAGAGAAATGACTAATTCAGAGGCATGTTAAACCAGAGATTCTGTCAAGAGAAATCATCTTGGTACTTCACAGTCTGAGTACAATTCAGGGATGAAGTTAGCAGAGCCTGCCAATCTGGGGCAATCAAGTCGAGAATCGATCTCTCCAAGTTCAGCCAAATCTGGGGCATTCCCTCAAAGCTGTCAATCAGAGGCTACCACGTCGATAAATCTCTTCAGGATGTCAATCAGAGGCTATCACGTCGATAAATCTCTTCAAGCTCGATCAATCAGAGGCTATCACGTCGATAAATCTACTCAAAATTCATTCAACCTGGGGCAGTTACGTCGAGATTCGACAAATCTCTCCAAGAAAGATGTAATCAAGAGCAGTTTATTTCGTGACTCAAGAGATTGGGGCAGACCACCTCATATCGTATTGTGGCACGAATCTTCTGGTCTTCTATTTGACCTAGATCTTCCCAGAGACCCTCCAGACAGGGGCATTCCTCATCCATACTGGAAAAGTTGCTCAAGCCAATTATGTTGCACGGAACCACTACGATCAGCTAAAAGCATCATAACGGTCACCCTGACCCAGCCAGCACATGAAACTGCCTTCATCTGCTACAGACAACTTCAAGTCTGATTCCCCAAGTGAATTCAGAAAGTCTAGAATCGTCTTTTAACTCAGCATGCGCAAGTGCATCCTCAGTGGAGTTAATCAAGAACATCCCTAATGGATCTAAACCGGGGCATTCGCAGGGCTAAACCGGGGCATTTGCATAGCTAAATCGGGGCATTCACAGAACTCAACCGGGGCACTCG